GGTTACAATTACATGGGCAAGATAATGAGTACATTTCTTATCAAGCATTTTAGCCTCCTCCTTTGTTTCCCCTTCCCATCCCTTCCCATCCTCCCCCAGCAGCCCCACCCAATCCTCCTTCTCCCTCTCCCCCACCCAATCCTCCTCCTCCTCCTCCCCCCCAAAACCCCTCCCCCTCCCCCTACCAAAGTTGTAAAGTTCATTTTTGACATAATGACTTGTACATCTCATGTCATGCAATGGGTCCACCTGTATCCCTATTTAAACGATTTGTTTTTTTCCCTTCCCAGCCAAATTCATGGTTCTTTTTCTTTTTCTTCCTTTGCTCTTTCCATGTCCTACTCTCCTTAACATTGTGGGTGCCACTAAATTCCCACGCAACAGGGGTCATGTCTTCTGTATATACAACAGTGATAGAAAATGTTACATATGTAAAAGGTGCTTAGGAATGGTCAAGACACCTGTGTGCTCTATTGTCTATTAGCTTGAATTTCATAACATATGCAACATTATTAATACTTTTGCGAACATGTCAGCAGAGCATTGACTGAATACAAGGCCCCTCTGTGTGTGGGCCCCTGTGTTGCTGCTGTGGATTTTACCCCCATGAAGTAGCCCTGGAAGCCAAATAGCATTGGTACTCTGGCCAGATGCCGAGATCCCTCACATCATGTTCATAAAAGCAGCATCTAGCTCTCTAACGTTTCATAAATTATGAACCATGAGCTTCATTTTTAAGAAGGGGAGGATATATTACTTATAAGATTCAATCTGTTTCTCTATCCCCCAGATCCATAGTAATGGAATATGATATGATTAACTTTCAATTGTTTTAACTATAGGTCTTTTAATGATTATTTTATTATTACTTTTACCTAAGGGCTTTTATTATTATCTTTAACACAGATCTTTAGTTCAACATGTCAACTTATGAGTACAATTCATCTTTTCAATTTCTTTTATTATTTTAAGTAGTTGCATCAATGGGTTTCCATTCATGTCAATTTATAAATACAATGAATATCTATATCTATATCAATATCTATATCTATATGTGGAATGGAAGTAGGCAACTTGAGGGGATGGATGAAGTTGGGAAAGATGGGAGGAATGATAGAAAGTATGACACCAATGAAGATGCGCTATAGCTGGGTGTCAGTGGCTTATGTCTTTAAACCTAAATAGTCAAGAGTTTGAGGTCTCATGGCTTCAAATTAGCCTGGGCTGGAAAGACTCTTATCTCCAATTAAGCACCAAAAATCTGGAAGAATAGCTATGGCTTAAGTGGTAGAGTGCTGGCATTGAGCACAGACACAATATCCAGGCTCTGAGTGCAAGCCACAGAACTCACACCAAATAACTGTATGACCTCTCAAGGGAAGGAGGCTGGTGGTCAGCCATGCCTGAGCGTGTGGCCTGTTCCCTCCTCATCCAAAGACTCACTTCTGAGGATTTGCTTATTCCCTGGGTTCACAAAATTAATTCCTTAGAACCTTAAGCAGTATGAGTTTGTACTTTTCTCAAATGTATTTTGGATTCTAGTTATTTCAATCCTACAGGTCTGATCTACAAGGCTCTAGTTTCTCTTGTGTCTCTCCCCATTAACACTCAACACTGAGGCAGAGGACAAAAAAAATGCACAGAAGGCAAGATAGAAGCAGGGCCTTTTTTTTTTTTTTTGTCGGTCGTGGGGCTTGAACTCTGGGCCTGGGCGCTGTCCCTCAGCTCTTCAGCTCAAGGCGAGTGCTCTACCACTTGAGCTACAGCGCCACTTCCAGCAGGGCCTTTCTTACTAAGATTTTCTTCCCCTGCCTCCTCCCCCACCCCATAATCATCAAACTAGTCTCCTCGTAAGGTCTGCTGAATCATAGTCAGTATTTAATTTTGCTAAGTTAGAGACAGGCCTATGGTGCCAAAAAATAAATAAAGCAAGAACTTTTCTGGTCTACTTTTGTTTCTGAGTACAGACTATGTATTGTGTCATTTTTTTCCTTTTTTTAAATTGTGAAAATACTGTACAGAGGGGTTACAATTACATGGGCAAGGTAATGAGTAATTTCTTATCAAGCATTGTTGCCTCCTCCTCCTTCGTTTTCCCTTCCCATTCCTTCTCATCCCTCCCTCCCCTTTCCCTCCCCTCCGCGCCAAAGTTGTAAAGTTCATTTTCAACATTGTGTCATTTTAATAAGAGAAAATACCTCATTTGAAGAAAACAATGCTAAATAAAAATATATGGAAGAGTTCCAATTGAAACTCAGAAATCAGTGTTTGGTTGAGGCCTTTTTAGGATTAGTACTATGAAGGTGACCCTAAGTTTTTTTTTCTTTTTGCTTATGTGGTGCTGAGGAATCAAACTCAGGACCTCAGGCATGTAAGGCAAGCGCTCTACCACTAAGCCACCTTCCCAGCCCTGACCCTAAGATATTCTTTTAGCACCTGTCTGATGTGGGAATATAAAATATAAAGAATGGTTTTTTCCTTAGTCCCTGAAAGCCAGTAGGTTTTGTAATTGATGATGGAGGAAGGAAGAGAGGAATAAAGTGGATCAGAACCAAAGGCTCTTTGTGAAGGCTTATATTCTCCTGCCCCTTTTCTTCTATTACATTGTTGGGTTTCAACAATGACTGTGGTAGTAAACATGTTCTTTCTTATTGTCTATGGGGGTGGGGGGCTCAGGGAGTTTCCTTATTTAAATTAAGTACTTTCTGTATTCCTAGCCTTTGCATCTATGTATTCATTTGAAACTAATATCTCAAGACATTATTATTATTATTATTTAATGTTAAAATAGGAACTTACATAGATGAGAAAAGTTATATTTGAATGGACTGAAGATCAGAATTTAGCTTAGTCACCTAAATATTATCCAGATTTTAGAGTGTGCTTGAGCACCAGGCAGTCGTAGGAATGTATTTGTGTTTGGTGGGATGGTTTTAACTTTGAAAGAGTGAATGTAAGTATCAGTAAGTAAATTGCTGTGTCTAGCAATTACCTGTCTATGGCCAGGCCTGTTTGTGGGCATTATGTGCCCTGATCAAGAATTGTTAACATAGTAATGGATAGGGATGGTGACATCAAGGATTTGAGTCCATGAGTGAGAGTCCCCTGGGAGCAATTCTCCTATGGCACAGCTCCTGATACACTGATGTCATCCTTCCCTATTATTTCAACTCCCCCCTTCCACCACAAACAAATGAGTCTTAGGATCCGGGGTTATTCATAAGCTTACATCATAAGAGATGTGCTGAGGATGCCAGTCTGCTGGCTGGACCCGCAGTACAGTCAGTACAGCTACAGAGAAGAGAAGCATCTTCTATGCAGTGAGTGCTTCCTCCCCTCGCTCACTGCCCATCTGGTCCTCCTCAGGAAGGTATCTAAGGTTTTACATTTTTGCTGAAATTACAGGCAAACTCTTATCCTCATATCTCTTCTCCACCATGAGCACATTTCTCTCCTATTAATGCCCAGGATAACAGAGAAATGATTCTAGGATCTTATCTAGATCAAAACTCCAATGTCAAATCACCTATCATCACCTTAAGGAGTTCCATATGTCAGAGTTAGATTCTTTTAAAGTATTTTGTACCTCTTATTTTAAAAGCCCACAATTGAATTATGGTCGCCATTACACAGCTTTTGGGTATACAGAAAAGTTATGGATGAAACAAGCTGAAATTGCTTTAAAAAAACCCATGGATTTCAATTGTAGTTATATTTTCAGTATAGAGTGTGTCATGGATATATAACTAGTTGGACCATAGCTGTGAGTGTGTTAATGTTGATGAACTTACATCATAGTGCATGTGTGTTCATGAGAATGTAAATAAGGAAATATCTTTTAAACGTATCTTATGCCAATGATCAGCCACGAGTCTTTCTAAGTTCTGTGCTGTGATAGTGTTATATGGAACCAAGGGCATGTGTAATAGTTTTTGTGTTTCTGCATCAGGCCTCTGTGTGTGTGTGTGTATGTGTATGTGTGTGTGTATGTGTGTGCAAGTGCCTATGAAAATCTGGATTGTGTATGCAGAAGTGAAAAATGTGTATTTTCTAGAACCTTAAAGGGACAATGAGTAGAATGTGATCATACATGAGGTATGCTCTATATTTTCCTAATCTTTCTGAATAAAGTTTCCATGTAGGAAATGTGTGTCCACACAGAAAAAGCAACCAAAAAGCTGTGTTTGGTGGTAATATGGCTTTGTTTTCCTTAAAGGAGGAGTTTTCAAAGTTATTTTTCAGACAGAACTGAGTATAACTGGACTGCCTAAGTTTGCATATCAGGGACCAAGGACAGTGAGGTGAGTTGATCATTTAGAAGTGTCCATCCTTCATCCCTCATGGTGGTGTCAGAGTCTTTCTATTTTCAGCTCAGAGACAGCCTTGTAGTAAGTATGATTTTTTTTAAAGCAGATTTGAACAGGTGGGATCAAAAAAGACTACTTAGAGATATTTATTTCAATCTCAGTTACAAGGAGAAGAGTTTATAAAACCTATGGGAAAAAAGAAAATCCTGGTGATATGAGAGGTGCTTTGATTCTCAATAGGGAAAGAGAAAAAGCCAAGAAGTCGATATATTTGTTCTTGTCACCCATATACTTTCAGGATTATGACTGTTTGATTCCTTGGCATTATGTAGACACTTGCCGCTCATACAAATTTCACTGGGTGTGCCAGGAGTGCTAGGAATAACCATAAATTTGAAAGAAGAAATAGTTGTGACATTAAAGGTAAGAGAAAGTGGCAGACAGTGAAAAGGAGAGCAAAACACAAGTACGACCAATTGTATACATAGAGACAACTCAGTGATTTTTTTTTTTTAAGAAATCTTTGTCATAATTAGAGGCAAGGACACGGATGTAATCACCCAAACAGATTAATGTTCAAGAGTGAAGAGTAGATGATATAAGAAAGACTTAAAATTATATTGGGGCGAGAGCATGCTCAAAACGATTTGTCTTCTTTACAGGGCACTGGCTGGAAAGCCTGGGGATCCCCAAATGGAAGGTGAACCCCACAACAGCTCAGGACTGCCTCCTTTCACGTTGACAGGACTCCCAGGTTTGGGGACCTCCCAGCACTGGATGTTCTTGCTCCTGGGAGCCTTTTATTTCATCTCTATAGTGGGCAATGCCCTGATTCTGTTTATTATCAAGGAGGAGCAGAGCTTGCACCAGCCTATGTACTACTTCCTGTCCCTGCTGTCAGTGAATGACCTAGGCGTGTCTTTGTCCACCTTGCCCACAGTACTTGCCACATTTTGCTTCCACTTAAAACAAATCAGTTTTAATTCTTGCATGGCTCAGATGTTCTTTATCCATCTCTTCTCCTTCATGGAGTCTGGGATCTTGCTGTTTATGAGCTTTGACCGCTATGTGGCCATCTGTAACCCACTACGCTATGCCACAATCCTTACTGATGTCCACGTGTTTCAAATGGGCTTATCTGTTATTATCCGAAGTTTCTGCCTGGTTTTCCCAATGCCTTTCCTCCTGAAGAGGCTGCCCTTCTGCAAGGCCAACGTGCTAGCCCATTCCTACTGCCTGCACCCAGACCTGATCCGCCTGCCCTGTGGTGACACCACGATCAACAGCATGTACGGCCTGTTCATTGTCATCTCGGCCTTTGGGGTGGACTCCCTGCTCATCCTGCTCTCCTATGTGCTCATTCTGCGCTCTGTGCTGGCCATCGCCTCCCGGGAGGAGAGGCTGAAGACACTCAACACGTGTGTGTCTCACCTCTGTGCTGTGCTCATCTTCTACGTGCCCATGCTCAGTGTGTCCATGGTCCATCGATTTGCAAAGGAGGCCCCTGAGTATGTGCACCAGTTCATGTCCCTGGTCTATCTCTTTGTGCCTCCCATGCTCAACCCAATTATCTACTCCATCAAGACAAAGGAAATCCGAAGAAGGATACACAAGCTGTTATTGAGATCTAAGTTCTGATCCAGAAGGAACTTTCTGTGACATGCCAGATACTTCTGAGGTTTATTATTGTTGCCATTTGGGGATTCCCAGATGTTCTCTTGGAGCTCCTAAATCTCCTTCTAAGTGTGAATGTATTATTGGGTAGAAGGCATTTGATATGTTATCACTTGGCTACAATGTCTGACTCAAATCATCCACAGCTCTAAGTTGTAATTATTCATTTTACAGGTTGCTACAAAGGGTACGCCAATCATATCCCACAAAGGAAAGGACCTTGGATTATATCTTTCTTGTGTTTTTGGTACCTGTATACCTGTCACATGTGTACTTCCAACTAAGTCTCAACAGGTGATACTGATCAAGATACATAGTATTTATAAGCTGTTTATTAAATGGCAACTTCTTTGTACAGCTACCTAAAAATAATAAAAATAATTATAAGCAAATACCCTACTTGGACTGTGTTATAGTTGGGGATTATGTTACTTGAGATCATAGCTATCATCCCAAGTTATTAAAGGAATTATAGTTGTAAATATCTTTAAACTTTGAAATCTAAACACACCATAATTATTTGACCAAACTAACACTCTTGAAATAAGTAAGATAACTCTTTTATCCTAAAATATGGAAATATATTTGTGCCTGACTTCTTATTTAATATGAACTACACACAACTTGGTATTTAGAAGTATGCAATATGGAAAAATGGCAACACCATATGTTGCCAATCAGCAGGCCTGACCAGAGAGAAGACTACAAGTTTTACAAGGATCAACATGTCAAGTGAGATAAATCAAGCTCTAACATCATGTTTTGCCTTATCTGTAGAATCCATATGTGATCATAATCATAATAGTATTACGATATGAATGTAAAAGGTGGGTTATTGAGGAAGTGACCAGTGGGAAGGGTGTGGGGAAAAAAACAAGGTGATGGTTAGTCAATATGCTAGAAAAACATATGTGTATAAAAATAGAATAGTAAAACCCAGTTAAATTGTAAAAGAGTGGGAGTAGAAGAAAAAGAGTATGTAAGAGTAAGAGAGGGATTGAACTAAATTGAAGTACATTGCATGCATATATCGGCGTATCATCATGAAATCCATTTGTAGATATGCTAATGACATTTAAAAATCTTGTAGAGACCTAATGCACACACAAGTTGTCAGAGAATCAGAAGTTGGTGATGGATCGAGGGGCAAGTGCACTTCAGTGGCAGTGGTATTGTGGCCCAGTCTTATGGACATGGGTCTTATCGTGAGCATCACAGTCCAGGTAACACAGAACAGAGCCTGGAAGTCTGCAGAAGAATGTCAGAAAAAGCCACAGAAAGTTGCCATGATGTGAGATGTGACACTAGTCCTCTGGAATGCATGAAAACCAAACATAATCCAGACTATACAAGCATGTGTATCTGTGTAGGCAGAAGTAAGTACAGTCATGTGGACACTTTCACTGCGTAGTGGACAGGTCGTGGCATAACTTGACTTTGAGAAGTAATTTGGAGAAAGCAGATACTTGGGGAAATAATTATTATTTTAAACTTACATACTTTGTAGTACTGGTATTTGAACTCATACTTGGCTTGACTGGCTAGGCTGGTACTCTACCATTTGAGCTATGTCTTCGGTACAGCCTTTTCTGATATTTTGGAGATAGAATCTCATGGACTTTTCAACTCAAGCTAACTTCAAACAGTGATTTTCGGGATCAAAGCTGCCTTAGTAGGTAGGGTTATAGTTGTGAGCCACTGGTATTCAACTAAAGAAAGCAACTAGCTTTGAGGCATTCTTCATGGGAAAGGATGCCATAATAGAATGCAGAATGAATGCATAGCAGACAAAGATGAACATGGGCAGAATAGCTCAACAGCTATGTACATATGACCATATAAGATGATGCTAAGCAAAATGAACTCCAAGATGTGGGCACATGAGGTTTTTCCTTGTTGTTATTGTTTTTAACATTTTATATGATTTCTTTTTTTCTTTTTCCCCCTTATGGTTTATTCCCTGTTGTCACTGTATTTGATTTTAGTACCCTGGGTATTGTATATACGTTTACCTGAATTAGGGAAGGGAAGGGGTACAGAAAATGGTGAGAAAAAGGACAAAGGGAAAACCAATGCAACAGTGATACTCACAAGACAAAATGTTGGAAATGATCTGTACAACTTGGGGGTGGGGAAGGAGGGAAAGTGGGAGAAAAGTGAGGAAGGGGTTAACAAGTTCAACAAGAAATATACTCAAGGGGCTGGGAAGGTGTCTCAGTGGTAGAGTGCTTGCCTTGCATGCATGAGGCCCTGGGTTCGATTCCTCAGTACCACATAAGCAAAAAGAAAAAAAGCCGGAAGTGGCGCTGTGGCTCAAATGGTAGAGCGCTAGCTTTGAGCTGAAGAGCTGAGGAACAGCGCCCAGGCCCAGAGTTCAGGCCCCACGACTGGACCGTCCCCCCCCAAAAGAAATATACTCACTACCTTACTTATGTAACTATTACCCCTATGTCTATCACCTTGACAATAAAATAAAAATAAGTAAATACTAAAATAAAAAGGTGGATACAAAACAGGGCCCCTAGATGTTTTAGAAAATTTTTAGATGCCACTCATTGAGATTTAGCATAGACTGCATGTACACCATATTTGATGACATTGTTTCAAAGTATGAGTGATAGTTCAGCCAAGGAAACAAAATCAGGGTTTAGTTACAGTCTAGTCAGGTTATAAGAATCACAAGCAGTTTCTACAATTGATAGAAATTAACATACCATATTGTCAAACAAGTATAAGGTCTCATGAAAGACAAACAGATCTGAGCCTCCGGAGTAGCTAGGATTACAGGCGTGAGCCACCAGCACCTGGTGAGAAGGAACTTTTGTAACTATATATTTCAATATAAAATTAGTTGCATAAATGCCACACAAAGCATTTGGAGTCCACAGTAAAGATACATTCCACTCATTGTGATTCAAGTTTAAAATATTTAATTCATTTCATGTCTTAACTTAGTCAATTCCTCATACACATAACCTCCTCCAAATGCTGACCGTTGTTTCCAAATGATAAATATTTTATCAACATATTCATATTTTACATATGGCTATTAGTAGTTTTTCTGTTATTGCCTCATTTCATTTTCTGTTTCATGGGATGAAGCTGTAGGACTTGGTAGAGAGGACCCACCTTGTATATCTTATGCACCTGTCTTCTGACAGGTTGTAGCTTTTTTTTTTTAAAAGGCAATTGTGTTTAACAATTGCACAGAAATATCTGTACAACTAACATTTAGAACTCAATAATCACTTGTCACAGAGACCAATATATTCTGTAGATACAGCTGGCCAGTCTTATAGCTGCCTGGCAAGACAGTGGTTAGAAGGTAAGATTTAATGGGATAGATGGAAGAATAATTACAATTTAATGGGATGAGAAGTTTTGTGGCTAAGATGAGAACATTCTTCCTAAATGAAATACACATGCAAAGGAGATTCAGGAAATTTGCAATTTGAAGACATGGAAATTTCTCCCAAAGATAGGAGAAATGTTTACCTCCACTGTGTGAAATTTACTAAAAGAAGTACAAAATATGGGTGTCAGGTGCAGTCAGGAAGGATAAGGTGAAGAGGGAATGGGTGGAGAGAGGAAAGGTATGTGAATGCAGTCATACTATTCAACCTTCAACCAACCTATTTGGAAATGGAACCAAATAAACTGGGTTGGGAGACATGAGGGAGAATGACACAAAATTTACTCACAAATGATACAAAATGTACTCACAGATTGACATGTTGAATTGAAACTCCTTTGTATAATGACTTAAAGATAATAATAAATCCCTCCCCCACGGTATAACCCTTGCTTTCACTGTATTTGATGTCGGTATAATTTGTGGAGGGGAGGGAAAAACCAAATCGTTTAAATAGGGATTCAGGTGGACCCATTGCAACAATGAGATGTACAAGTCGTTATGTCAAAAACGAACTTCACAACTTTGGTGGGTGGGGGAAGAGGATTGGGTGGGAGGGTGGGGGGGTGGGGGGGAGGATGGGAAGGGATGGGAAGGAGAAACAAAGGAGGAGGCTACTATGCTTGATAAGAAATGTACTCATTATCTTGCCCATGTAATTGTAACCCCTCTGTACAGTATTTTCACAATAAAAAAGATAATAATAAATAACTAAATAACTAAAAAGGTATAAAATAACTTGAGATGTCTAAGGAATGTAGACAATGAATTTGCATTAAATTTGGCCCTTTTCCTACTTTCAGATTTTGAACTCTCATAGAATGAAGAGTGCTGATGATTTATATATATATATATATATATATATATATATAATTTAAATCCTAAAGACATACAAATATCACAGCCATCTTGATGAAATTGTTATCTTTTAACTAATTAGAGTATGATTATTTTAAATTTCCTCCCAAATAAGCTACCAAGCAGCTGGGATTAGATATGAGTCACCATGCTCAGCCACAATTAGTCTTTTTTTTGTTATATATTTTTTTTATTGTGAAAATACTGTACAGAGGGGTTACAATTACATGAGCAAGATAATGAGTACATTTCTTATCAAGCATTGTAACCTCCTCCTTTGTTTGCAATTAGTCGATAATGAGTACATTTCTTATCAAGCATTGTAACCTCCTCCTTTGTTTGCAATTAGTCTTTATAGTCAAAGTAATAATACACAGATTATAGTGAGAATTTGATGTGTGGTGATACCTGTTCATGTTTAATGACTTCGAGCATTGGGAAATTGAAGAAATACATTTACGGTTGTTGGAATGAGTGTAAATCTGAAAGATGTATTGTGACTATAAGAAAGTAAATAGCTGAATGTGTCTACTGGAGTATTTTGGGGATTTTCAGGGTGTCTACGACTATGCCTGTTTTGGGGCATCCTGTGCGGTGTGCTTGCAATCCTAACCAAGGACGTGTTCACACACTAGTGGATACGGGTGGTAATAACAAGACTATGAGCTCAAAGATGAGATCCTCTCAGGAGCAATTCTCCTGTGGCTCAGCTCTCCCACGCTGATGCCATTCTCCCAATTATTTCAACTCCCATCCTCCCACCACAAATGAATGAGCCTTGGGACTTGGGGTCATTCATAAATTTATGTCCTAGGAGAATGTGTGATGCCACTCTGCTGGCTGGGCCTACAATGCAGAGCTTCTGGCTACAGGGAGGAGAAGTACCTTGCACGCAGTAAGTGTTCTTTCCACTCATGCTGCCTGCCAAGTCCTCCTCAGGACTGCATCCCAACGTTTAACACTTTTACTGAAATTTTGGGTAAATCCTAACATCATATCTGCCATCCAAACATGACCAAATCCCTCTCCTTTCAAAGCCCAAGGAAAGAGAGAAATTGCTCCATGTTCCTCTTCCTCAATCAAATACCCCAATCTGAAGCCAACTACCACTAGGCTTACGGGGCTTTTCCACCAGATAATGGTGCTATCTTGAAGCTGTTTCATACTTTTGATGTTCAAAGCTTACAATATGAAATATGATCATACATTTGGCTTTTAGATGTGTTGCTGGAAAAAATTACAGAAGGAAATACACTGAAGTTATTTGACCAAATAGTGTCCAAGTTTCACTTGGATTTTCAGGACTTTGAATATATGAATGTAATTTGTGGAGATGTTACTGTGGATCTGTTAATGCTGACACATTTGTTATACTGTATGTACGTGTATATGTGTCGGTATATGTGTGCAATCTTTTTTGTTTTGTTTTTTGTCAGTCATGGGGCTTGGACTCTCAGCTTGAGCACCGTCCCTGAGCTCTTCAGCTCAAGGCAAGTGCTCTATCACATGAGCCACAGTGCCACTTCGGGTTTTCTGGTGGTTTATTGGAGATAAGAGTCTCACGGACTTTCCTTCTCAGGCTGGCTTTGAACCACCATCCTCAGATCTCAGCCTTTTGAATAGCTAGGATTACAAGTGTGAGCCATCAGTGCCAGGCAAATGTATTCTTCCCACCCCAACCCCACCCCAGGTATGGGGCTTGAACTCAGGACCTGGGCGCTATCCCTGAGCTCTTCAGCTCAAGGGTAGTGCCATAGCACCACTTCCGTATGTGTGCAGTCCTATAAGTAAGTGTTCAAGAGGGTGTAAACCTGGAGGAATTCTGGAAACTGGTATTATCAATGAGTAGTCATAGAAGACAGGAAGGAGGGAAAGGAAGGAGGGAAGGAAGGAAGGAAAGAAGGAAAGAAAAGAGAGAAGGAAGGAGGAAGGAGAGGAGGAAAGAAGGGAGGAAGGCAAGCAGGCTGGTGAGTGGCATCAATTGTTCTCTTTGGAAGAGAAATTTTTAGAGCTGCTTTTCTGTCAGGAAGTACTGGCGCATGGATGGTATGTTACTGCTCAGGTATACCTCAGTTTGTACACTAGGGGCCAAGAACGTTGGGGTGAGCCTGTCTTCTAGAGGAGTTCTTAGTATGTCTTGGTTCTGCCAGATTTTTCCCTTTTTGAGGAGTCTGATCAGTTTGGGAGTAAAAATGACAGAATAGATCTAGATAGACTAGGTCCCCAATGACTGTAAACAATGACTTTACCCAATGACAATGACTTTAAATCTTGGTTGGAAAGAAAAGTTTATAGAAGAAAATAAGGACCAGGAAATCTACTGTTGTAAGTAGTTCTTTAATTCTCCATCAGGGGGAAAGAAATCAAACGGTTATTTCTTCTCATTGCCAATACACTTTCAGGATTTTGCCCAATTGATATTTTGGAATTATTGAGCTCCTTGTCACCAACAAATTTCACTTCATTTACCAAAAGGGCTAGGGATTAAAATGATACTCCTAAATTGGGTAAAAGAATTCATGGCCTTAGACACAGAAGAAGTGACACATAAAATTAAAAAAAAGAAAGCAAGACATCAACCTAACCAGTTGGATACATTGAGAGATCCAGATCTCAAGAATCTTTGCATGGTGTAAGTTCTTCAAACAAATAACTCAGAGGGAAACATGAGTTGCGTGGAGTGAAGAGGTCAAGGAGGAGGGGGGAGACAAATGGAAAGAGAATGGTGGGCGCATGTAGTCATAATATTCTATGTACATACATGAAATGGTAACTTGAGGGAATGGATGGGGTTGGTAGAGATGGGGGAGGATGATAAATGGGGAGATCGTGATCAAAATGCATTGTGCTCAAAACCTGACTTCTTGAATAAGTCAGGTTTTTCAACGACGTAAAGATTTAAAAAGAAAAGAACCCTTGCAACAATAAGACGCAAGGATGAAGGATAGCGGATTTATGCTTTAGAGCAGGGAGTAGAGAGTTTAGGAAAGACTTAAAATTAGACGGGAGCAAGAGCAGGCTCAAAACTGTGTATTTGTCTTCTCCACAGGGCCCTGGCTGGAGGATCTAAGCGGGAGTCCCAGAATGCCAGGCAAACCCCACAATAACTCAGAACTGCCTCCTTTCACGGTGACAGGCCTCCCAGGACTGGAGACCTCCCAGCACTGGATGTTCTTGCTCCTGGGAGCCCTGTATGTGGTCGCCATTGTGGGCAATGCCCTGATTCTGTTTATTATCAAGGAGGAGCAGAGCTTGCACCAGCCTATGTACTACTTCCTGTCCCTGCTGTCGGTGAATGACCTAGGTGTGTCTTTCTCCACACTGCCCACGGTGTTGCCCACATTTTGCTTCCACTTAAAACAAATCAGCTTTAATTCTTGCATGGCTCAGATGTTCTTTATCCATCTCTTCTCCTTCATGGAGTCTGGGATCCTGCTTGTCATGAGCTTTGACCGCTATGTGGCCATCTGTAACCCACTGCGCTATGCCACCGTTCTTACAGATGCCCGCGTGCTACAGATGGGCCTCGCTGTTTTTATCCGCAGTTTCTGCATGATTTTCCCTCTGCCTTTCCTCCTGAAGAGGCTGCCCTTCTGCAAGGCCAATGTGCTGGCCCACTCCTACTGCCTGCACCCAGACCTGATCCGCCTGCCCTGTGGTGACATCACCATTAATAACATCTTTGGTCTTTTCATCGTGATCTCTACTTTCGGTCTAGATTCTGCACTCATTCTCCTTTCTTATATGTTCATCCTTCATTCTGTCCTTGCCATCGCTTCCCGGGAGGAGAGGTTAAAGGCACTCAACACATGTGTGTCACACCTGTGTGCTGTGCTCATTTTCTATGTCCCCATGGTGGGTGTGTCCATGGCGGCTCGCTATGGGAGGCACGCCCCACAATATGTGCACACGCTCCTGTCCCTTATTTATCTGTTTGTCCCTCCCATGCTCAACCCTGTCATTTATTCCATCAAGACCAAAGAGATTCGTCGAAGGCTGTGTAAAATACTGCTGGGGAAAACGTTTTGAGCAAATGACAATGGTAAAATAAAGTTCTTCCACTTTCAGAAGGGCTAATCCAATGGAAAACATGGTTTAGAGATTGCGTTGGAGGGGTATTTAAGAGTGTAGTAGGATAGTTATACAAGTAAATTTAAGTTTTTGTTATTTTGATGTTTTAGGGAAATAAAAGAATGTGTATATGAAAAATTAAGTGATAATGAGGCAGCGGGAACAGTTATCAATGGTAGATTCAGCCACATTTAAATGATTACAGGGCAAGTATGAAAACAGATTATTCCTGTCATCTTTTATTTCCTAAAATTTGCAAAACCTTGGAAAGTGATGTGAATATGATCATGAAGGAGGAGGTCACAATGTTCAACGAGAAATGTACTCATTTTATCTTACTCATGTGACTGTAACCCCTGTACAGCATCTTTGCAATAAAATAAAATTAAAAAATAAATCCTATCATCAAACATTTCTGTTAGACATTTCATCCCACTGAACACCTAAAAATGAATATTACACATTGTAATTACAAGGAAACAATAGAGTGAAAAGTGACATCCACCATTATTCTAGAATTAATCAAATTAATTCCTTTTCAGAGCTCAATATAACTCATAATGCACTTTAAATAATAAGCTGTGTTTGAAAGTCATAGATTTAAAAATATTAAGCAAAAAATAATTTATAAAAGTAAGGTAAATTTTCTTGATTTATTGGATTTTGTGCTTTATAATTAAAATGAGAAGCAAATACCTTCTCCATTAAGAGTATTTTTATTATTTATTTTATTTTTATACTTTAAGTGGTTGTACAAAGGAGTTGCCACTCAAAAGAGTAATTTACAAATGCAGTGCATTTTGATCAATTGTTACCTCTTTCAACATTGTCACCCATCCCTCTTCCCTCACTTTCCTTAATTTTGCAAGATAAGTATGAAGTTGTTGCCATTTAACAAGGAACTTTATGAATATAATGCAGCTTGATCTGTGTTACCCCTTTCAACATTTAACCTTCTCCATTTTAACTAACCATTTTCATCACTTTTTGAAAGAATTATTGGCTGACGTTGTAACTCGAATACTGAGCTATTTTACAAAATTCCTGTGTCTGTAACTGAATGCTAAGTAAAAATAACTTTAATTATATTTTTACTTATTCTTCGCCACCGCATCCTTCTCTGTTGCTCCTATCAGACAGTGTTTGTGGCTGCTGACCTTTTGGGAGTAAAAGCACTAATACATCAGGTTATTTGAAAATATTTATATATTTTTGTAGAAGAAATATTTAGGAGGTTTGACAGAAAGTTTATTGTTAGCTTTCTGTTAATGACATTTGGGAAGATGTATTTTCTACTCTTGAATAAGCACTTATTTTTGGACTCTCATTTTTCTCCACCTGGCCATTTTTGATTTCTCTTTTAAGTCTCCACCTAAAGTCAACTTCCATATTATTTCAGTCTCCCCTTTTAAAGTGTCTCCTGTTTCAAGCAGGAGGGAAATCAATCCATGTGATTGTTTGTGTAGCCTGTTGTCCTGATTGTTGAGGGAGTGGAGGGAAGAAGAGTTATCTTCGTTGTTGTTTCTAAGCACTGCATTTGGTGTAATCTGTCTCAAGGATGCATTTATACTGACTGAGACAATGATGGTGATTGCAATGAAAAGTAAAATTATTTTTGTGGACAGATAAAGGACTACTTTGCTAGCACATTCTGTTTAGCAATGGTAAGAGACATAATTATGTTTCTGGGCAAAATACAGATGAGCAAAGGTGCTTGACATGTAGCACTGCGCCCGATGGCATTGATAAGAGGAAGTTGTATGAAGCATGAGGTAGAGAGACTCGTTGGGGTTGGTGAGAGGAGGAGAAGGAGAGTCAATTGTAAACTGTGCTCAGTCTAGACTTGAACTTGAAATTTCAGGATGGGAGCCAGTGCTATGTTTTCATGGGCCTCTTGTTTGTGAAGAAAAGTGGGCAACTATTGATGATTGGGACTTGGTAACCAGACAAAAACAGTTACTCTATCTTTCTGCTAAGAAGAATGGATTATAGAGGATTACACAAATGATAATAAATCTCAGAAAATGCAAATCACAAGAGCATGCTTTTGAGGAAGTTGTGACAGGCATAAAAGAACGTTTCAATGTACTGCTGAGCACTCGGCAACTCTACAAATTTGAGAGACACCTCTGCTGAAATCCTTACCATGATACAACCCTGACCCGTGGATCAACACGTGGGCTGTGATGATTTGTACAACAGGACTGATGTTGGCCTGTACATCTCTGCATGAGAAAGGAAAAGAGGCAAAGAATTCTGCAACTGCATAGAGTGTCTGTGATTCGTGTCTGTGATTATGCAGTGGATCCTTCCTGGGTTCCACTGGACAACTGTGTCTAAATCTCTGTAAACATACTTTTTGCACCTAGTCCTGTCTTCTAGAAATGATAGAAATTAATTTTTTATTGCATAACTGTTTTGATATTTGTTTTCTGTTCAATTCTAAACAGAAAAAGTCAAAGGGGTAACAGCTCCATTTGTTACTGCTGTGCCTTTCATTTCAAAGTTGCTACCACTGTGTTCAGTGATGGATGACAAAGAGAGAGATTGAAGAGTATTTCATTAGTCAATGAAGCTGAGTTTTGAATGCTGGTGGTTCTATTCTCTTCACAGAACGCATATTTATAATATATGTAAATGCTGTATTACAAAGTGCTCTGATTCTTCATGTTAAATGTTCCATAAACTTTCTATAATGAAACACACAACCACTTGTGCTTCATTCTTTATAATGTCACTTAGAGAACTTATCTTTTGCATGTTATGTATGTTATTTCTTGAGCGTTTTATAGTTATTCAAATTGTTGAAGAATGGTGAGTTTTTCAGGTTTTGTATTTGTGAAGTAATGCACCTTTCCATACGATAAACACAGAGGCTTGTATAGTTATGATTTTCTGAAAAAGTCAATCTTTTAGGAATTGTTTTTTAAATATTTTTTATTGTAAAGATACTGTACAGAGGGTTACAGTTACATGAGTAAAGGTAATGAGTACATTTCCTATCAAACAGTGCTACCCTCTCCTTTGTTTTTCCCCTACCATCCCTTCCCACCCCACCTCCCCAACACCTCCCTCCACCTCCCTGAAGTTGTAAAGTTCATTTTCAACATAGTGTCTTGTATGTCTCATTGTTACAATTGTTTTTTAGATCTGTTTTCCTTTGAATTAAAAAAAACCTCATGTCTGAAGTTCAGATGGGTATGTGTCAAATGCTACAAAACCAGCACATTAGGATATTGGTCTGTGTTGAAAAAAAAAAAAGAATATTGGTCTGTGCTGCTTAGGTGGGTTAGTAGTTTCTTCACCATAAGGATGCTATTCAGGTTGCTTTTCTCTTTGCTTTTCTCTCCTCTTCCAGTTGGTGAAAGAGTGTGTATGTTTGTGTGAATGTGTGTTTATGAGTATGTGTGAACATATGTTGTTTGTATGTATGTGTGTGTATATGTGTGTGCTGCAACTGTATATAATCATATTTTTTTTGTTTTTTTTTTGGGGGGGGATCCAGTCGTGGGGCCTGAACTCTGGGCCTGGGCGCTGTCCCTCAGCTCTTCAGCTCAAGACTAGTGCTCTACTACTTGAGCCACAGCGCCACTTCCAGCTTTTTTCTTTTTGCTTATGTGGTGCTGAGGAATCGAACCCAGGGCCTCAGGCATGCAAGGCAAGTGCTCTACCACTGAGCCACCTTCCCAGCCCTATAATCATAGTTTTTAATCCTCAATTAATACCTTGGCTTATCTGACAGTTACATATATATATATTCCATATATATGTATATACATATATATATACATACATACAGGCATATGTATATACATACATATATATGGAATATGTACATATATTCCATAATCTCTCTGGATGTCAGACATTTCACTCACAAAAGGTAGATTAAAGAAGCCCAGACCTCTTCCCAGCAACAAAAAGGAACGCAAAGAAAAAACAAAAAAATCCAGAACTGGCACACACAAAAAAGAATCCTTAATTAATAGGTTTATATAAAAGTTAGTGTATAAGAAGACTCGAGTAAGCTATGGCATGTATCGCTTACTCGATAAATTATAAGTCTTTTGCATATCCTAGTTTGTGAATTTCTTTTCTTTTTTGCCAATCCTGGAGCTCGAATTTAGGGTCAGGGTGCTGTCCCTGAGCTACTTCTGCTCGAGGCTAGTGTTCTACCACTTAATCCATTGAGCCACTTTCAAGCTTCTTTGGGTAGTTTACTGGAGATAAGAGTCTCACAGACTTTCCTGCTTGGCCTGGCTTCAAACCATAGTCCTCAGATCTCAGCCTCCTGCGTAGCTAGGATTACAAACATGAGCCACCAGCATCCAACTTTATGAATCTGTTTTGAGACTAGGTTCCATTAGCTTGCTCCCTTAGGTCTCAAAGTTGTGACTGTCCTGCTTCTACCTCTGAAGTAATTGGAATTGCAGCTTGAGAAACCATGCCAGGCTTCATATCCTATATTTGGAATATGGTTAAAAATCAAATATTGAATGTCACAGTAATTATCAGGAAGAATTGTATTATTTTGAAGTTTTCTTTTTATGCCTCTCATGATTGTTTGTGACATATGTTCGTTAATATGGAGAAGATAAACTGATTTACTTGGAAGTAATGACAGTTACTTCCTTTCACATGCCCACTTCCACCTCCATACATGCTCTTCTGCAGGCTCACATACACATAAACAGGACACTACCACAGACACTATCAAAGGTTTGAGAGGGACCAAACCTTTTTTTTTTTTTTTTTTGGTTGGTGGTGAGGCTTGAACTCTGGGCCTGGGAGCTGTCCCTGAGCTCTTCAGCATAAGGCAAGCACTCTACCACTTGAGCCACAGCGCCATTTCCGGTTTTCTGGTGGTTAATTGGAGTTAAGAGTCTCATGGACTTTCCTGCCTGGGTTGGCTTTGAACCTCAATCCTTAGATCTCAGTCTCCTGAGTAGCTAGGATTA